ATACATCATTTTATAACCCAGTAGATAATTGCATGAGTTAAAAGTACTTTCGAAAGGCCTTCTTGGGAGTCAACAGGCCTTCAACTCTACACTCCTTTCTTTTTTGTGAAGTGTAGGTGTCCGTTTCTAAAGATAAATAATTGTGCCAGCGGAATAATTTATTTATTTTTCATGAGGTTTTCACCATATAGCCACGAAACTATGCATAATCACCAACATCAAAGGGCCTTATATAGGATAAAAAATATAGTTTCTCCGGTTACCATATTCTTTATGACACTCAAAAAAGTTAAACTAAAGAAAATTTAAGGGACAACAAAAGGTTAAGAGGCCTACAAAAAAGGGCTCCACACTTCTCCAACCGGAGCACTATATTTCCGTATTATATATGTTACTGGCCAAACCCGATCTTACGGCTAAACTAGGTTTGCCTAGGCCAAACTAGTTCTACCAACATGCTATAGGATATACCGGTTTAGCCTAGGATAACCTGGTCTTTCCGAAGCCGGTTTGAATGAACCGGTTAAGTCTAGGCTGAACTAGATGATATTGATAATAATGTACTTTCCAGAATATGTACATTTCTCTGATTGGAAAAATTTATATTGGGATCGATAGGGGTCTTAGTCCTGATCATAACCATAATAGACATCACTGGGGCGGACTTTAAATGTCCTTATCCGTTCAAAAGCTTCATGCAATCTACATACATATATGTATACAGTTTAGCAAGCACCATTTCCAAACTATTTGACAACAATCGGTTTTCAGGTGTTTTAGGCAACGCTAATTTACAAATCTATAGTCATATTAAAGAAAATCGGAAAAATCAACCAACACCAAATTCAAGATGGCGAATAAAGTGCATATAGTGTTTTTTTTTTGTAAACTTTATACAAGCTATTTTCGGCAGTTTTGATTTTTTTTTAATTCTGAAATTCTGGTTTTCGAGATGTAGTTGAGATTTAAATAATGTCAGTGGTGCTACGAAAAAACGAAAATATGTACAAGCCAACGCGTATTCATTTCAGCCATTTATTAGGCAAATTTTTTAATACGTAACATTTTTTCCGCCATATTTTACCAATAAGTATTTTAAGAATAACTAAGTCACACCATAAACTCATAGGATATTTTCCTTTAACTCAAAAATTCGTTTCAGCGTTAATTAACACTTTATGCTTTTATTTTAACCCAAACAAATCAGCCACGTCAACACTTTTTTGTGGATTCATTGGTGTCTCAAATATTTAAAACTCCTCTGATGAGTCATCATAAACATTCAGCAATTCTTCAAACAACTTCATTATCAGATCAGTTTCACTCTTAGAATCAGCATCAGATGACGTGTCCACGAATTCATCGATAAAATTCTGAAGTAAATTGATGTTCCCAAACAGTGAGTCCGCAATTGAGGAAAATTGGGTTAAAACATTATTTCCCGAGGTGAGAACCTCCTTAAAAGAGTCGCTTAATTGTGGATAGTGCATTGCAAAAGTGTTGAAGAAATGCTCGGGATTAAAATTAAATGCATTTCCTAACGGAGCTGAGGACACCTGTTGAGAGTAGAACTAATTATTAGGATGAGTAAAGCGTTTGAGAAATATACTTTTTTAACCTGCAAACTCGGGCAAACAATCAAATATAAAACTATCCAGGTTTTAAACATTTTCTATGGTTTCCGGCTAAACTTTTAAGTGAAACTGATGGTGCGACTCGCAACCCCTTGTTTTTATAGATATTTCATGCTGGTTAAAAGTTAAATTCGTTTACATAAATCGGTTCTATACGCTGCAGTTAACAATTGTTCACGGATGTTTGTAAAGACCACCGCACAATGGGCCTGCAGGGGCAAAAAATAATGAAAACGGACTAGCGAATTCTTAAAAATCAATAGAAAAGTATCCAACTAACCCACCCAAATCAAGAACAGTTTTTGATAAAAATGCATATTTGCAGGGATGGGTATGTATGTATGTATGTATGTACAACGTACAAAATAAATGTGCAAGAAAAAATGTTAATTTTGCCGCGTGGAATTTAAATTAATTTTTCTACTAGTGCTGATATGTAATAGGACCATCTGATTGAGGACCAGTTTTCCTAATATGTAAGTATATCTGTCGTCAATCATGGCTTTATTACACATTTATCTACTGAATTTTATTAGACAATTTTACTTGAAAGTATACATTACAATTTTTGGAGTGCTAACTTTATAAACGAATATTTAAAAATTTTCATCAGAATATAACTTTAACATTTGCGTCTATTTTTTACTGCCGGTTTCACGAAAGCAATTAAAATGAAAAATAATTTTTGTTCTGTCAGTTTCCATATGAAATTCAAATAAAAAAAAAATGATTTTTCACTTAAATTTTTTTCGTTAAACTGGCTATTAGACTTGGTGGGCGATAATATTAACCCAATTTTACGTTATTTCAGATTTATGTTTTTCTGTTTGAAACTAGATATATATACTCTAACTGTCACTAAAATCGGACAACACTTTCTATTTCCACTGACAAGAGCTGAGGCTTGGCAGTGCGTCCACTTTTACCATTTTTCACAATTCTTTTCTGCTACTACTACTACTACTACACATTTTCTACTACTTTTGTCCACAGCTTATATGGGGACATCCCACTGTGCACCGTATCTGTGTGAATTTCATAATCACGTGAAAAAGGTGCATAACCATGTGGAAAAAATAAATTTGCAGCTCTGTTGATATCCGAGCATGGTAAATTNAAAAAAAAAAATGACTTTTCACTTAAATTTTTTTCGTTAAACTGGCTATTAGACTTGGTGGGCGATAATATTAACCCAGTTTTACGTTATTTCAGATTTATGTTTTTCTGTTTGAAACTAGATATGTATACTCTAACTGTCACTAAAATCGGATAACACTTACTATTTCCGCTCACAAGAGCTGAGGCTTGGCAGTGCGTCGACTTTTACCATTTTTCACAATTCTTTTCTGCTACTACTACTACTACTACACATTTTCTACTACTTTTGTCCCCAGCTTATATGGGGACATCCCACTGTGCACCGTATCTGTGTGAATTGCATAATCACGTGAAAAAGGTGCATAACCATGTGGAAAAAATAAATTTGCAGCTCCGAGCATGGTAAATTGAATGGGTGGGGGCGTGAAAAACTGATTAAATAGCTACCTTTGAAATGATGCAATCGGTGCCAAGTAATCATTTCAAAATTTATCGATATCGATATTGATAAATATTTATTTAGATAACTTTATTGCTGAACATATATAAATAACAATACCGACGAATCTACCAATAAATATGATTATGTTTATCGATAACAATATTGAAAAGCATGAGTTTAAAAAGAAGTATCGAGGATTGGCCAGTCCGACTTATGGCGTGCGTGAAACCCAAATGCGTACATTTCGAATGAAAATTTCCNAAATTTGCAGCTCTGTTGATATCCGAGCATGGTAAATTGAATGGGTGGGGGCGTGAAAAACTGATTAAATAGCTACCTTTGAAATGATGCAATCGGTGCCAAGTAATCATTTCAAAATTTATCGATATCGATATTGATAAATATTTATTTAGATAACTTTATTGCTGAACATATATAAATAACAATACCGACGAATCTATCAATAAATATGATTATGTTTATCGATAACAATATTGAAAAGCATGAGTTTAAAAAGAAGTATCGAAGATTGGCCAGTCCGACTTATGGCGTGCGTGAAACCCAAATGCGTACATTTCGAATAAAAATTTCCTTTTTTGTATATAATATTAGCGGATACCCGCGACTTTGTCAGCGCAGCTT